CACAGTACCATAATGAGAGTGACGCCAAAGTGTTGGAAACCGGGTCCAGCGTCCCATATCCACTCTACTCTTCCATACCTAGCCTGCAGCAGGGTCGGGTATTGGGGGGGGGGCCACCGGGGGGCACCAGTGGAGTCTCCCTCCATCCCCTAGCCTCTGCCATCCACCAGCTATCCTCATGACGCCCATTGTACTTTGCAATAGCATGCGTTTGAAAGGCTGAAGCACCAGAAAACAGGCTGTAGTAAAACCAGCTAAAATCAGCCAGGATCACTTTGAGAAGTACAGAACAATACTGAAGAAAACCTTTGCTACACTGTACCTGAACGAGAGTGACGCCAAAGTGCTGGAAACCGGGTCCAGCGTCCCATCTCCCCTCTACTCTTCAGCTGGGGTCTTTTGAGAAGTACAGAGGGGAACTGAAGCATTGTATTCTTCTGCGAGACTGTGTTACAATTGGACCATTCAGACTGGGCAAGACTGTTGAAGACTGTTGGAGGTTTTTAAGAGGGGGATGAACGGAAGAATAGAAGAACTGCTACCTGCTAGGTCCCTTGGCTTATGCAGGCAGCAGAATTTCTGTTAAGGAGAGTGGGTGGGGGGGGAAGGGGTCTGCGAAGTCCTGAGCTCCCCTGAATGCTTCACCCGGGTCTACATTGGTCCAATCATGGAAGACCAGCCGGTAATCCCTTTCTATCTCTAACCCGGGTTCCTCCTGTGGCCCCTTCTCAGATAGATCACTCCTGGACCACTTTACCTCGGCCACCCATCCCTCCCTTTCCTTTCCCAGCCATTTCTTGCCGAAGCAAGAAATAGCTTTGTTTATGTCCCCCTAGTTGTGCATTTGGTCACGCTTGTCTTTAACAGCCTTCCATTGGGTCGCAATTTCGTGTTGGAATAATGTCCTGATCTGTTCCATAACCTCTCCGTCTTCCACCCGCGCTCCTTCTATCTCGAGGATACATCTCTTCCACCATATGGTCCATAGGACGCTCCTTCTTCTCAGGTTGACCATATTCTCCTCAAAGATATTCTCCCGAATTTACGGGTAGTACCCCAGGAGTATAGACCTCCAATCCCATGGCCATTCCGCATCGGGAACAATATGCAGCCAGATCCTATCCCAGGTTCTCCACATAAGTACTGACGCAGGGCACTGCAGAAAGATGTGTTCAATAGTTTCAGCCCGCCTCCTCCCAGGGTAGCTCTGGAGGCATTTACGACACCATGGCAGCGCCTTCCCTTGTTGTTCTAGCCGGGTGTGGTCTATCAGCCAGTCGTTAGTAGGTAAACATATGTGTTCTATTTGCCATTGGAGGGCAGAGATTTTAGCAGGTCTGTAACTATACTGTGCAAACCATCAAATAGGCTTGAGCAGGCTGCGATCAAT